CTACCTGGGGGTAAGGTCCCCTAGGGCTTGGACTTAAAATCTTTGACCCTCCACGACCCCCGAAAAGGCCGAGAATCAATGGCGACCGTGATAAAATCGCCATTTTTCAGACATCGAACGACAGAAACCGAGTAAGCAATCGCCAAAAATCCAATTAACATAAATTACATTAAATAACATCGTCTGCTCAATTAATTTTAAAATTATTAAAAGAAATGTTCTTAAGACGGGAATTTGGCTAGAAAGAAAGAAAGAAAGAAAGAAAGAAAGAAACAATCAAACAAACAAACAAACAAACAAACAAACAAAGATAAAAGTGTTTAACGTCGCCTGCCAATATCTCATAAGTAACGGACTATTCCGTTTTGATCTCGTAGAAAGAGGGGAAAGACACGACATGATTTCAGTGAGAATAAAGAAAGAAAGAAAGAAAGAAATGTAAATGGTGTTTAATGTTGTTTCAGCGAAATGGAAAAGTTGCCATTTTCAAATCTTTTCATTTGTACCCACTTCTTAAAATAACGACCAGCATTCATATTTATGATTGTTGTTTGTTAAAATTGTTAAGCTCAAATATTGAACGATGCGACAGGGAAACTTCTTTGGATATTTTATTGTCGTAGAACACGCCACGAGTTCATTCAATCATTAAATTAAGAGTTAAGAATTAAGATTCATCAGAAAATTTAAATTAGGAAAACCGTGAAATTTTCACGGGTGTTTCTAATAATAATAATAATAATAATAATAATAATTGAACTATTCGACCTGAAGTTATCTCTAACTAGGCTCCACCAGGTTATATGCTGCTTTTATCAAAATCCGTCACCATATCGCACACATTTGCTTGTTATACCCTTGGCTTTATCACACTTGGTGTCATCATGATGAGTATATTAGGCTTCGATTATTTGTACCCCAGAGTCACTTTGTTGGCGTACTGTTCTTCATTCAACAACAACTAAAACAATAATAATAATAATTTTTAAATTATAAAAAAAAAATTCAATCAATTTAAATGTCGTCAAAATCATAAAAAAAATGTGCCACCACTGAGAGGAGAAACGCATATTAATGAAAAAGATTTTCATTCTTTAACCGTTTTTTTTTTTTATTTTTATTTTTTTTAAGAAAAACGTAGGCGATCATGGCTCTTCATATTGGCTACTAAAATAATTTTGTCTGTTTGGCGAGAGGTGCAAGCCATGAGTCAGCGTTTTTCAACCTTTTATTTTTACTTTGACACACAAGAATCACATTTTACATTGTGACCAGTTATACCTACGTGGAATAAATCAAAGACAAACTCTCTTCACTAGAATCATTTATTTAGCATCGACAATTTAGATGTATATTTCTTACGATCCGCATGTATTGGAATTACATCCATCAGTTTGTATTATCTATTTGTATGAATAGAATATTATTACTTTTAGAAAAAAAAAATTTAAAGTAAATTCCGACACAAAAGTAAAGTAAGTAATATTTGGAAAAATGTCATTTAATGAGATATATGTGCTTGTCTGCAACTGATTCCAATAGATTTATGAGTATTGTGCAACATTTAGACTTGTTTATATTCTGCACTTTGCTCTTACTTGCGTATTTTTTTTTTTTTTTTTGTCTTTCTTTGTTTTTGTCGCGACCCATTTTATTTATCCCGCGACCCATTGAAGGGTCGGGACCCACAGTTTGAAAAACCCTGCAAGTCATTGGATGTACTTACGGTATAGAGTACAAGTTTTTTTTTAACTACCTAGATAGTTTGCTATTATCCGCAGATTTCACCATCTACAGAAAACTGATAGTTTCGCTATCCACGGATAACGAATTTATCTAATGTAACTTGAATTTTACAAAAATAAAATATGAAATAATTATAAAAACCCGAATTTTACAATTGATTTCTCAACTAAAACAACGAAGTCTGTCAATGCAATAATTTGACAATGAATTAATTAGATGTTTTCTTTATCATTTTATACCCACGTGATATTTTCTTTCTATTTTATGATTCAGCTACTAAATACTAAGTCCCGTTCGTTGCTATACAAATTATTTTGTATATTTCCAGTTATTGGCTAATAAAACTTAATCCCACAGTTATTATATACCAGCTTAAAGGAGATTAAACTATTTGAATCTAAAGAAAATTGAACTACTTCCGTTTTAATAGCGTGTTTATCTGTGTGTGCGTGTATATGTGTTGTTTAAAATTTGCTATGTCTATGGGGAAAGCGTGCTGAATATCGGCTGATCGTTTAATGCGTGAAACTAACAGTCACCGTGCGATACTGATTTTTATGTTCACAGTTAATATACAGATAGAGTTCACACCCACACACACTAGAATCTAAATGAAATCGGCTAAATGAAAAAATAAAAAAATTAAATTTTAAAATTATAATTCCCAGCATCCCTCGTTAGTGCGCATGCGTAGTCACCAATTCACACACACACACACACATATATATATATATATATATATATATATATATATATATATATATATAGTATTTATGTTACACAACAAATATTTACATTTCAGGATAATCTCATTCTTTGTCATTGCACCTGATTATGTAGTCAATATTAATAATCACATAACGTGAACATTATACAATGAAAATTACATATCAAATTCCCAATAAAAACTACATTTCAAACTACAATTTTATAAATTCATTCAACCTGACACACACATATATATATATATATATATATATATATATATATATATATTATTATTATTATTATTATTATTCATAGTAACATGATGTCGAGATGTGTGAATCGTTTCATATTTATACGTACACATAAGAACAAACAACTAAAGGTCTATCGAAAATGAACATACATACACACACCCATATATATATATAATGTGTGTGTGTGTGTGTGTGTGTGTGTGTGTGTGTGTGTGTAACATTCTTCTTGTACGAAAGAATAAGTTATTAATTTTGAAGTGTCTTAGTTTCAACCTAATAATATATCACGATATTAAAGTGGGACCAGACTCCTCCTCCTCCAGTAAAAGGTGAAATTTTATAAGCTTCAGGAATATCTTATCGGCACCCAAGCATATCGTATCGCCGGAAAGGCAATCTGTGGTAGTCTGGTCAGGCTAGTGTCAATTGACTGATTCTATTATATTCACCAATAAACAACCGGGTTGAGGTATCCAGGGTGGCATAAAAAAAAAATGATTGCAACCCGCCATCACCCCATCCCTATCGCCTGGAAACAACTTCATGCAAAACATACACACGTATTCAGGCAAATATGCACCTGTATATTTTCGACTCATCTGGTTAAAGATGTCACTTGGAACATGGTCGCTGTTTCTAGATTGAGATTATGAGATCTCAGTGGTCAGTCAATGCCTGTTATTTTTTTTTTTTTTTTTTTTTGGATTATTTAAAAGCATAAAATTAGCAATTTGTAGAAGCGACTCTAAATTGGATGCTTTCCTGATCAGTACTATAATCTTAACCTGGTCAAGTCTAGGGCTACCCGTTATCTTCCCTACATATCCGCATAAACTATGCCTCTTACACTGTAACCCTCTACCTCGAGCGGCTCTCGGTTGTTGTATGGAGTGAATATAAGTTTAAAAAATATTATACACTAGGCTAGGTGATTGTGTTGTGTGAACTTCTCAAGGAGTCAAAATTATTTCCTTTAAAATTAAATTAAATAAACAAAATTCAAGGTTGTTACTCGGCCTCAAACGCCAATCATCGGCGCCGATATGAATATAAAAAAAATGAAAATATTTACTTGTAAGTGTTTGTGTGTGTGTGTGTGTGATACAGACAGACAGACAGACAGACAAAAAGACAGAGAAGTAATAACAACTATAAAATCCTTTTCCCCCATTGTCAAGATCGGCTGGAGCTGGCATATATATACTCTGTCAGAGGAGTGGGTGAAATAGTCTTATTTTGTACAGAAAACAACAGAACGACGGCATATTATACTATAGACACACTCATATATGGATGGGCTGAAGATTTCGTTCAAGCATGAAACAAACTGTCGCCGCTCTGTGTCGAACTCAATGTCCATTTTAAATGTACATATATATTATATATACATATACAATATAATAAAATAGAATATAATATATATATTTCATAAATATATGCATCATAAATATATATATATTAAATATATACGTAATAAATATATATATATATTAAATATATACATATATATATTTAATATATATATACAATATTTAATATAATATTTATATATATTTCATATATGTATATATTAAATATATATATATATTAAATATATATTTATGTCATATGTATATATTTTATTTATATATATTAAATATATATATCATATATATATTATATATATAAATATATATATACATATATATTAAATATATCATATATGTATATTTTATATTAAATATATATATCATATATATATATATTATATATATAAATATATATATACTATTAAATATATCATATGTATATATATATTATATATATATAAATATATATATACATATATCATATATATATAAATATATATATACATATATCATATATATATATATATATATATATTAAATATATCATATATATATATTAAATATATATATATTTCATATATGTGTGTGTGAGAGAGAGAGAGAGAGAGAGAGAAAGAGATAGAGGAAGATTTTTGTTTTTATTAATTTCACTGTCTAAAATAATAACAACTCGAACGCGTGTATCCACTAAAAATAACGTTTTATCGCATGTTAGTGGATACACGTGTTCGAATTGCTAGCCCCGATTTTATTTTTTTTAAACAGTGAAATTAATAATTTAAAATTAAAAATATATTTCAAATGGCCTATCGACTTGGTGTTATCGATTAGCAAACTTGTCTCACTGGATAAATTTCGACTGAGTAGTTAATCTACCGCTCCAATACTTATGGCCTTGTGTCACATTTGATGTACGCTTAAATCATTATGGACACGCAACGTCATGACCTGTGAGCCCGGTGAGGATCGGACTCACTTACGAGCGTCGAATGGTGGAATAGCTTTCATTACTTTCTATATTTCTAGAAATGTCTCTTTGCACCTAATAATGTTTACGTGTCTAGGTATCACTCAATAGAATAACAAAATATTTTATTTACTTGTCATATCGGGCGATTGAGAGAACTTGTTGCTTATTTATTTTTTTTTTTTTTTAATCAAAGTTTTGCTTGTGCCTCTTTCTTTCTTACTTTTTTTTGTAATATTTGAAAGTTATACCTATGTATAATGTCTACACAAAACTTTTTGTTACTTAAGAAGAGCTATGCATGACTTTTTCTCTGTGTGAAACGTTGACTGGCAAAATTTTGTGAGTGTTTTGTTGTCGCTATCTCCCTCTCTCTTTCTCCCGCTCTCTCTCTCTATCTATCTATCTATCTATCTCTCCCCTTCTATCATTCGACCCTTAATACCTTCCGTCTGTTCCTCTCCCGTGACGACCTCTCGCCATCTCTTACAGTTTGTTCTTTGTTTCATGGACTGTCTACTGTTGTTGGACACACCTACGACAGAGGCACAGTTTAACGCCTAACTATCTGAATTATGTTAGGCATGTAAGCGATATCCCCACTCTCTCTATATCTATCTATATATCTGTCTTTCTGTATCTTTTTCTCTCCTTTCTCTTTCCCATTACACACACACACAAACACGAGCGCGCACACACACACATACCGTATCTCTCCTTGTGAGCTACTTTTTTTCAACGCTGCTACTGCTGATTGGGGAAAAAAACGACCAGTTAACTGAAGCGACGAGCTTACCTGGCACACACTCGACAGCCTCTGACAGCCAAACTTACTCCACAAGAGAAATCAAAAATAGTTTTAAAAGGGAAAAAAAAAAAAAAAACGCACGCTAACATTCAAATTATTGAAATAAGCTAATTCAGAAGAAATAAAATTTCTTCAGTTACAACTACATTTTTTCTTTTTTTTTACAAACAAAACTTGAGTCTTTTTTTTTTTAATATTTACAACACATAAGGAACTTTATTTCTCCCCACTCCGGAAATTTTCTGAAGGTCCTGACGGCATTAAGTTAAAAAAAAAAAAATAAATCAAATAAATAAAACGGTAACATGTCGGGGAATATCCCCAGGATAACTGCATATTTTGGATTTGGTAAATCCTACAAAATTTGTGAACTGGTCGGATGCGTGTCTTAGTGGGAATTTGCGGTACGACGCGAGCCCCCTGCCTGACCAAACGTTAAGATAAAAGCAGCCTTAACGAAGTACTTTGTTCTCTTTCTCTCTATCTTTTTTCCTTTCTCACTTGCTAGTAAGTAACAACAATCGACACACACTTAAAACTAAACAGTAGAAAGTTTCCGACGCACTTTTTCTTTTGCGCGGAAAGTGTTTGTTTTTTTTATTCAGTTCTTTTTAAAGAAAATATCTGTTGTGTTTTTGAAAAGAAACATTTTTCCTTCTCTCTGGTGTGTATTGTTTTTTGAAAAAAATCACCAGAGAAATATATACGAAATGGATATGTCTTTACGTCAGAAAAAACAAAGTGGACATTACTTTTGTCAACTACCTCATACTGTGTTTCAGATGGGACTTACTCGTGGATTGCCTTTGTTGGGACTTTTCTTTGGACTTTTCCTTCCATCTACAACAGCAGGTAAGTTTCATTTCCTTTCTTTCTTTCTAAGGCCTCATGCAAGAAAAAAAAACTAAGTAAATATATTTTCTTCGTTTCTACGAGATTCGAATTAAGAAATTCAATTATTTTAATTTTTTTTTTCTTCGTTCTCGTTATCCCATTTCAGCACGGATTTGCATCGCCCACCAAAACAAAACCCAACTAAATTAACCTTAGTTTGGTACAAGGCCATATATGTGGGTCACCCAATGAAGATCGAAATCAAAGTATAATAAACAGTAATTGTATGCTCAACTATCTTATTAACTATTAACCCAGGACAAGGCGCTTTGCTGTTTGCAAAGCTAGCTAAATCTGGCACAAGATCAAAATAAGCGAGCACTCTGTGAAATGTAGTTACCTATTTCGAACTAGCGCCAGTAGACAGTGTTCGAACAGAGTTTAAAAAAAAAAAAATACTGATTTTCGTGGTAGGCTGGTCACTTTAAAAAAAGATTGGTGTAATACAATCTTCTGCTTCACGTTTAAACTAAACAGTAAATATCTTAGACTTAAATCTTAGAATAATTTTAGGTCGTAGCCTGTATATCCATATTTTTCACTGACGAGGATTTGAACTCTGTTAAAAAGTCAGAATTTAGAATACTGATAGTGATCGCCAAGGCTAGGCAATAAAAAAAAATTAACTTTCTCTTTGGTGCTACACAATCTTCTTATCTTCATTTCCTATTTATTTGGCTGGATAGTATGAGGACTGTGCGTGTGCGTCATATATAACACGTGTTTGCTTCTCGTTACCTGTGTGTGACTTCAAATAATGCGCATTTAGAAATAACTCCCTCTTTTGATGGGGACATACAAAGTATTTACATATAAATATACATTCAGTTAATGCCCGCTCTCTGTATGTATGTATGTATGTACGTACGCTTGTGTGTATTTGAAAATCATAGGTCGCACTGATGGTCGGCTAATAATACCTTCTTTTTGTGTGTGTAAACAGGTGTTTCTTCTTTATGGTAACCTTTTTACAATATCGATGAAAATGTTTTGATTTCACTGAGCCTAGTCTGTTTAAGCCCTGAACAAAAAACTCCGCATTTGATCAAGGTTAATGGTAGAGAATGCGGTGGGAAGATTGTGTTCCGCCAATCTTGTAAGTGGGAAGAGCCTGTCTGTCTAGAAAATAAACATTATCCTTTTTTCTTTAACATGGATATAAAAAAAACATTTACCATGAAGATCGGTAGGAAATATGACTGTGACTACTTAAATACGATACAAAGACACATGAAGAAAATTTGGAATGAAGAATGTGTTGCGTCAACTTTCCAAGGAAAAGGGAAGCGCTTGCCTGCCTATTTGTTTTCACCTTGGCTCGAACACCAACCAATGACACCACTAGGAGTTTGAAATACGCGACTTAAGCTACGAACTGGCCACACATATTTGTACCTTTTGAGTGTTTTTACTGACTGATCGAAAGTTAAATTGCACCCAGCGTCAAATTTTAAAATTATTTTATTATATATATTTTAGATTATTCTTAATTGAATTAGAGGGGAAAAAACAAATATTATAAATTTTTTTTCTCTAAAGATTAACTCTTTATTTTTATGGAGAGACGAAAAGTTTTTAAAAATGACACAAATTTAAATTTGTTTGAAATGGAAGCAAAATATTTTCGCGCCTCATTCAGCAATAACTGATTTCACAAACTCCTTAATAATTTGTTATTTTACTTGAAATCTAACAAGTCTAAGTGGAGAGGAATGGGAATAGGAAGACATGGTACTTTTATAAAGAAGCGGTCCCAACAGGGATGTGATGATATATTTGATGACGTTACATTTCGTTGTTATGATTTAAACGAATTAAAATTATTGGACAAATTTAATTTAAAAATAAATTAGAAATAACTGTATTTGACCAAAAAAAAATAAATTTGTTACAATTACGTCCTCAGATGCTGCAGAAAACATCAGATTTCTCTTTAATATAGGAAGAGGTAATAATTGTAACAAGTTATTTTTTTATTTACATTCGGACTATTGTTCTTATCACAACGTTTCGAGCGTTGTCTCGCCGGCCTTCATCAGGTGTATGCCGCTCCGGGTAACCTACAGAAACTGAACCCTTTATTTAATCTACGGAAGTAGATTGTTCACGTCTCACTGTCCATGTCTAGGGATATATCTCGTATAGTTTTTATTTTAGTTCTATTCACTTATTGATTACCCCGTTTCCACTGAGTCAAGCACACACTGCCCGAACCAAGGGTTGAACTCACAATTACTAAATTCAGGCAGATTTTTTTTTTTTTTTTAATGTTTGAAGTAAAATTATTTCTAGTTTATTTCTGTAAATTTGTGTGCGGGTAGGAGTAATTAAAATAAATTCAAGTTTTTGATTGATTTTTAAATTCTACCAACTTTAAGTCTAGACATGACGTCAGTGAATACGTCACTACATTCCTCTTGGGACAGCTTTTTTTAAATTAAAAGTACTGGAAGATTATATTACGTTAAGTGGGGAGAGCCTGTACCTTTTAAAAATGAGTATTCAGAATCCTGGCATTTTACACGAACTAGAACACAGGCCCTGTTCGGAAAGGGGAAAATATGCTACTAACTAAAAAGACACAGGTTATTTATTCTACCATACAAAATTATTCGATAAAATTAAATAATAAACCTGCCGGGACGGGCCAAAAGAGAGAGGACAAATTCACACTTTTGCATATAGACCTCAGTTTGTGCCAAGAATTGTTTTCTTTTATGGTATTTTATTTATAAAAATAAAATAAATAAGCCATGGGTATTTTCGGCTGTTTGAGTAAATCAATGAGCCGGCAGGCTGTTTGTACCGGGCGCTTGCGCATTAAGAAGCAGGTATTGCGCGCTCAAATGGAAATAAAAATTGACAATACAAAGGAGCTGAGAAAAAGATAACCAGACCTCTATTATTTATTATAAACATTAATTATTATTGTTATTAAAACTTTATTATTATTATTATTATTATTCCCCCTCCTCTTCCTTTCAGATTATTCGTGATAAATTGAATAAAATGTATGATATCAACTTTTCAGATTTGTTTGGTTGGATTGACTTGCATAATCGATCACGTTTTATGTAGTAATATGTAAATGACTGTCTAATTAATTAGCATATCTAAGGCATAAACTATATAAATGCCCAAGCAGTAAGTGTAGGGCACCCCTTGGCATGCGAGATAAACAACTACCGCTTAAAAGGGGAAATACCACTTCATAACGATTTACATTCGAACTGTTGTCCTTATCTTTGTTGTTATTATCAAAAATTGGGGCCATTCTGCTCTCTATGTGCTTGTCAGTCCGAGTAATTTTCAGGAAATTTTGAACTGAATTTGTATTTAATCTACACGGGTAGATCGTTCTCATTTCTCTGACCATATCTACTCGTCTAGTTCTGATTTTTAGTACTGCTCACTTATTGCTCGCCCGTTTCCACTGAGTCTGAGGGATGTCTTTTTGTTTTGTTTATAACTATATCCTAACCTAAACCACGTTTCCTGGCTCTCAACGACGTCTCTACTATGTAGTTTTATTTTTTCTGGGCCATATTCCGAGGCGAAGTCATTGTTTCATTTTATTATTCTACGTGATTTCCAGATTTCATTAAATTCAGTTTACTATAAAGAGGAAAAAGAGTGTATTGCGCCAATTTTCCGAGTAGAGGAAGCCTACCTGTGTAGAAAAACAATACTACGAAAATCTGGATTTTTAAAAATTTAACTTCTAGCGCCAATATTCAACACGTCATTATCTCGGCCACTTATTTGAATGCTGAAAAAAAAAATACAAAATAATTGTGACTGAAGATAAATCACTTTTAAATGAGAATAATTTATCTTCCATGATAGGAAATAAAATTAACGAAAATTTAAACAAAAACTCTTAATGAAATGGAACTAGTGTTCTCAAAAGACGAAAATTAAATGTGCTTGTCGTTGTTGTGTGTGTGTGTGTATATATATATATATATATGCTAAGCTTTTTTTTTTTTTGCTGACCACTGAAGTTTTTAAAGAAACTTCTATTATTAAACTTACCTCAGTAAGGTATGGCTTTCACATTAAGGGTTGATCTTACCCACTGCAAAAAAAAAAGCCTTTTGAAGTGAGGTTTTTTTTTTTTTTTTTTTCCCTGAATTTTATAAAGCGTGGAGTGAGTCGTCTTTCCTTTTTTTTTTTTTTCTTTCTAAATCAGATACTTGCTTACTAATTAGTGTTCGAGCCCATATATGCCAGAAGTTTGAATACCGATTTTCAAGGTCAGCTCCATCTTAAACAATGGACACAACACAATATCCCTACTTTTATTCCTTCGTAGTTGACTTTACAGACTGTATTGGGTTGGGCAAATCAACAGGTACTCGGATCTTTCGAACCATTACCGCTCAAGTGAGTTCGATCCTCACTTGAGGTCGAATTAAGCATTAGTGTAGGCAAGCAATTCGCCATGGAAGACTCAGCTTAATAAACAGCATATGCATAAATAAAATTATCTACAAACATTTCTATTGTAACTTATTTTTTTCGTCATTTCATATTTTAAATTACTACCAAGTACACGGCTTGTCCGAACGAAGGCAATATGATCTCGTTAGGTAAAGTGAACGAGTCGTCGGCTGGAAGGTGAATTATAAGCCTTCACTAAACAAGACAGGTAAACTTGAAGCAGAAAGACCAGTTCAGTAATGAGTTTTCTCTTGCTATTTTTTTTTCTACGCGCACGACTCTCATTTCTCCACGGATAGTAGCAGACCTTTCGTCAGTGCAAGGCCGTGGGTCGAGGCGTTTGACTTTTATTACAGCTCGGATATAGCATTTAAAATATACCCAAGTATTTAATGCTAAGTTGGCGGTTTTATAGGTAGATGGATGTGTAAATTGATTTAGACAAATTTGTATATAGATAGATAGCTATGTAGCTAGGGATAAGTGTAGATATTAGGATAGATATGATAGCCTTAAGAAAGAAAACTTGGTTACAAAATTATATATGTATATCATTAAACCATTATAAAACGAGTACATAAAGAACTATGTTTTGAAAAATATGTAACATATCTACTTTTTTATTGTTGATCACCATGTTGAAAACTTTTCCATCTCAAATTTGATTACTTTTTTCTTTTTTCTTTTTTTTTTTTTTTCTACTTAAACTGGTAAAGTATTTTTTCCTGTGGATATATTCTTCTTAATCGCTTGGACTTCAGTAAAGTTTCATCATGTATATTTTTTCATCGAACCTTCTAAAGAGGGGCTACTATTTCCTTCGGTTGGCAGTGAAAAGTTAAGGGAAAGGTCACCATTCACCAACCTCCCCCCACGTTCATCAGAAGTCATTTCTTTCTTACCCTAAATTATGTTCAAGCAAGCCTATTTTTATTTTTATTTTTTGTCCTTACTGGACTCGTTTGAACGCACCTGCCCAGACACATGTTCGTCCTCATCACTGAAAGGAAATTTAGGTACAAATATGACAATATTTTAAAACTGTTCTTCCGACACGCACAAACACGTGTAACTTCGTTCCTTAGTGCTTAAGAGCCGATTCAACTGTTTTGTCCTAACTTTGTTCTATGAATTATTCAAATGGAATTCTTATATGCTTTCGCACTCAGTAACCTCTTGCGTCTTAGTGGCTTTATTGACTTGCTCGAAGTGAAATGATTAAATAAAAATTTAAAAAAAAGAACAATTCATAGAACCAAGTGACAAAGATTCATGCTGCATTTGAAATTAAATTTGAACATTACAGGATGGAGCATATACTTTTAAAAGGTCGGAGAATATCAGTGGCGTAGCGTGGGCGGGAACAGAGGGGTTATTGCTCCGGACGCTAAATTTTAAGGGCGCAAAAATTGTTGGAGGAGAAAAAAAGTCCGTACGAAACTAGAATTTATTACAGCTCAAAGCTAAGGAGAATGTGCAATAGCTTTTTCCCGGGTGCTTAAAACCCATTCTACGCGATTTGTCCGATAATATATAGTGATTTTCCAAGCGTAGCTTAGATGTGGCACAAGGCCGAAAGTATGGGGCACCCAGTGAGGATCGAACTCACTTTTCAATTGTAAATGTTTTAACGAAATAAGCTTGCTAAACATTACACCACGCCGAGGGGGCCTTTTTCCGATAAAGAAATTGGCAATACTTCCTTTTAGAACTTCCGAAAATACGAGACGTTCTAGGGAACACATTGACCCAAATGTGTTTTGTTTTTTGGGGTAATTTTTCTTTTTTAATTATTATTCGAATTAATATCCTGCTTTTGCAGGTATTTTAAAACAAAACATTAACATTAAAATTTTTAAACAAAAAAAAAACCCTGCAAAGTCAGGATATTAATTCAAATAATTCATAAGATAAGGACCGTATTTTATTTCCCGCCATATAAGAGCACTTTTTTTTTCTTTTTTTTTTTTTTTTTTTTTCAAAATATTCCTTCAAAAATCATCCTGCATCTTATACTCCGATGGTTTGGTTACCGCTATTAACTAACGCCAAAAAATCATCTATTTTGAAAATACTGAAAAAAACCAAAAAAAAAAAAACCAAATATGAATAAATCAATTATAATTTTTTTTCCTATTGTCAGAGGCCCCTAGGATAGTATAATTTGGGAGACCCTTCATTACGTAGATTTGCCTCCCTCGTGTCTATAAAAAAAAAAAAAGATGCATCTGAATAGGACCCCTGAAGGTGCTCCATCGAATTTAAAAGACCTACTCCAACTAGAGGGACTCAAATTTCAAATTAGTTCAAAGGAGACACATTAAATCTGCAAATAAATAAATCTCCTCTATTCTTAGTAACTTCTTTTTCTTTTTTTTTCTTTTCTTTTTTTTTTGGTTTTATCAGGAGCCCGAGAGTAAAGGTCCCTTGAGTTGGGTGGAGGGGATCTAGTCTTGGGGTCCCTGGGGTGCAGTCCATACTAATATGTAATATGTAAGTCCGGCATTTGCTATTGTTCGTACCAATTCATATTTTAAGGTGATGATGCGGACCTCTAATCTCCCCCTCAATCTTCATGCAGGGAGCGCCTCCCCCCAAAAATGGAGATAAATTAGGGAGACAAAATACTTAGGGAACTAAAAAGGGGAGGAGCTATATTAGACATTGAACTTTCAAGATGCCTGATTATATATATATATATATATATATATATATATATATATATAAAGTGTAACCCGGATATAAGAGAGTTGTCGGGACCGGAGAAGAAGTCTCTTATATCCGGGTTTGGTCTATTTTATATACATTAACACAGGCTCTAATTTAGGACCAGAGAAAATCTCTCTTATATCCGGGTTAACTATATATATATATATATATATATATATATATATATATATATATATACACACACATCTGGTTCTCCCAATAAAAATGAACATTTTTTTTTTTGATTTCGTATATGAACTTTTTTTTTGCTTGTATTTATTTTCTGGAAGGAGACTTATGGGCTTTTTACGCATATAAGAATTATATAAACTAGCAATACCCGTGAAAGGCTTGCGGTCGTGCACTCATTCCCGTACTATCACCGAAGTTAAGCAACTTCGTGTCTGGTCAATACCTAGATGGGTGACAGCGTGGGAATACTAGGTGATGTAAGTTTGGATGTGCCGGTGGTGTGATGGTTAATGGCATGGAATTGCTAATCGGAAAACCGATTTCCAATTCCCGTTGGGTTCGTTATATTCACTTAAGCGCAAATATCCCAGGGAAAGGTATGAGTCCACTCCTTCTCACCCCAGATATAGGTTAATTAAAGACTTATATCACTAACTCATTATTTTTTTTTAATTCTTACAATCTAAAAATATTTTCTGGCTTTAAATAACCTGCAAAGTGTTGAAGCCGTAAAAAATTAATCGATCAATTAATACCTGTGAAAATTTCATTTTTCCTATTTTAATTTTCTGATGAATCGGGTCCATATAAAGTCATTAATTTAATAATTATATTAAATTAATGACTTTATATGGACCCTGAGTTGCACGACTATAAAATACCCGTGGAAATTCTCCTATTGCATTGTTAAATATTTAAGCTTAACGGCTTTACCAAAAAAATGTGATAACATTTATAAGTATTAATGCAGGTCATTATTTAAAGTGAGAGGGTACAAATGAAAAGATTTCAAATTGACAAGGTTTTGCATTTCACTGAAGCAGACGTTAAACACATGAGAGCCTCTTCCCTTTCTTTATTTCCTTCATTCTTCCTTTTTTTTATTGTGTATGCTTTCTTTCCTCACTAAAAAGCAAATATATAACTAGATATATTTTCTTTTATCTTTCCTCGCAACAAAAAAAAAAAAAGGTCCATTATTTACCTGTGGTAATGTCAGGGCGTAACACGCTTGCTAACTAACTTACGAACAAGAAGAACAAGCGTGTGAAGTTTTAGAAGTTAATGCTTCGGGGAAGAAAAACGTAAAATTAAATTTTCTGACTTATTTAAAAAAAAATAATTAATGGCAGTAATTGTTTTAGATAAATGATGAGAGATGTTCAGGAGCATTGCCATAAATTGAGGCCAAGAGGTCAAATTTACTCTTCTGTACAGTTTTCAATTCCTGCAGAAAGTAGAAGGATATTCATATCCCCATCCCCTGCCTCGATAGCAACGTGGATGCACTTGGTCTGGCTTTCTTTTGAAAAACGATTTAATCGTTATCAAACGCGATTTATAATATTTAGCGAAGCTCTTTACACGGGAAACCTTGATAAAATCTCGTTCGCTCTCATGTTAGGAAGGATAAATAAAGATTTAATTTATTTTTCTTTTTTAACGTGGGGGTGGTTGTTTATTTTGAGTGGGCACATCTTGCCTAAAGCGGTCCACTGTCACAATGTGCATTGTTTTGGATTTATGTCAATGTTTTTAAATAAGCCAACGGCGAGCAGCAAGTAAAACTTGTCTTGCACGATCTTAGGCATTCACGTTTATCATACGAATAGACGAATGACAGTTTTATATAACAAATCTTCGTTGAGCAGTCACAACGATAACAAGTTATTTTCATTTCGTGAAAATAGAAGCAAATGGATCAAGATCGTCGCAATGAATGTCATGACACCAACTGTTGTTCAATTTTATAAAGATTAATAAAAAGGGTGAATTTATTGAGTGGAACAGATGACGAGAGAGAGAGAGTTGTTGTTTTACAAGAAAACAAACGTTTGTATTTTATTACGTTCGAGACAATTCATCAAAATTTCTATCTTTTTATTCTAAGAATGTTGGTTCAAGAGGATCAGTGTTCTTTTTTTCTTTTTCTTTTTTTTTAAAAATACCAGAGAATGACTAAACTGAATTTTATTTAGAAATTAAGAACATCATCATGAAAAACACGGGTTGCGTAACAATCATCCACACAAAAAAGTGATATCAGCGAGCCGAGTTCAAATTCCGGTCAAGTCAACTGTGTTTACTTTTCGCACAAATGCCTTCCCTAAAAGGCATGAATCCATTTTTCTCTCATCATGGCTATGGTTTAAATAGAAAAATAGACTTGATTCTTTAACCTTGAATGACGGCCAGTTTAGAATAAAAGTAACTCTGAATTTAAAACCGTGAAAAAGGCAACGAGAAACCACTCGACCTTATTTTCCAAGGAGTCGTGGCAATTCCCAGATAATTGATAAGCGGAAACTGTAAACTTAGAATTGTTTCTGTTCTGAAAGAACATGGCATCAAATAAATACTTCATAGATTTAGATAGTTTAAATTTCCTAACAAAAGACAATAAACGTTTGTTTTCTTTCAGATCAAGGTGGTTAATTTGAGACTTTACTTTTTGTGGCCATCAGTTCAATGCCTCTTTGTCCGGGCATCCATATTGGGAGGGCATTCAATCAAAGAGTGAAATAAAAATTTAGTTTATATTTAATTTGAATAAAGTGTTCATTTCATGTTTCATCCGTTTTTACATATTTAAAATGTCTTTCTTTTTCACATTTCCCAGTACTAGGCCCTATACCCCCCTATATGAGACTTAGGGTCATACAGTCAAACCTCTGCACTTCACTGCTTCAGATCAAATATTTTCTTTTTACACAACGCTGATTGGGTAAAGATTCGGGAACGATAACTTCCCTTGGTTTAAACTTCGTTTAATTTGATTGGAAGCGCTGTTTGGAAATTATGCGTAAAATAAAACATGCTCTTATAAATAATTTCAATGTCAAAAATATCAAAAACAGTCCCTAAACTTGGCAATGGAATGGAGAGTTAAATATAGCAATGAAACAAATCGATAATTATTTACACTATTTACATTTGGCTATTGTCCTCATCTTTGTTGCAGTTATAACAACGTTTCGGTTGTTGTGCCATCTGACCTTCATCAGGTGGATTAAAGCGTTCTTGTGAATTTGGTGACAGTCATTGTGAGTTCAATCCCTGGGTTGGGTAATGTGTACATGGACTCGGTGGAAACGGGCGAGCAAGTATTAAATTAAGAACTAGACGAGATATCTCTAGACATGGGTAATGGAACAAGAACAGTCTACCTCCATTCAAAAATCGTTCCCAAATTGATATACATTTATTCTGGCGCTTTTATATATCATATAAATATATTACGTTTTTGTATGTGGAGTAAAAGACTTCTCCATTATTTTTCCATTTATTATAACACTCTGGATCAATACACTCTTTATTAGTAGTATTATTTTATTACTAGTCGATCCGTGACGTAAAAAAAGGACGGAATTTTGTATAATTTTTTCTCCAATTATTGTTGTTCTCTTTTACGGTGAGCAGTACATCCCAGCTTCCTAAGCGTTTGAAAAGTGTTTAACAAAAGATATTGTCATCCGAAGCGCCGTCAAGGGAAAACTCTGCGCCTGGAGTCGCCCATGAAAGAGAAATGAATCTTGTACATCAAGGCGTTACAGACATTAGATAAAAAAAGTACTTGCTATATTCTACAATTAGACTACCTTTTTTATACTATTGTTGTTGGGTTTTTTTTTTTATCCTAATACTATGATTCGAGCAGCTCTTCGACCGCTACAGAAAAAGAGGGGGTCAAAGAGTTTATCTACCTAGAGTTTTATGATAAAAGAGTAACAACAATAAGCTGGAGTAAAGTTAGTAGTAAAATAACGACAACAATGTGTGTTATCGCAGTTGCAAAGGCGCCAGATGGTGAGAGACGCCCATTCACTGGCTTGAGGAGTGGCTTGGCGACCGGACACTGACCACATAATTAAGTCTCTTTATTAACGCCTTCCTGACCTTTCCGAACTATCTATGCGAGGCGATACCTTTTGAAATTGACAGCATTTTAGGAATAATTCGCATTCCTCCATTTAAAATGATAAAATAAATTTTCGAAAAAAAAAAATTAAATTATGACGTCTTTTTATAAACTTTCTTGTCAAAGGAATTATTAAAACGTGGAAATACCAGAAAACGTGAAGGCGACGTCAAATTTACATTTAAAGTATTTTTATCGCATTTTTTTTTTAAAATAAAATATCAAATTTATGCATGCAAAATATTCAAATAAAATACTTATTCTTAAGGTAAGTTTTATTTGTTTAACTTGTTTCATAAGATCACCGAAAAGAGAAAATAGTCATTGTTATCTTTCTTTTTTACTTTAAGTAACCGGATCTTTTCTGTTAATTCATCCCAAAATAAAAAAGAATTTATATTTACTAAAATTCACATCAACTTCTCCCAGAGCGAGGCCCTTCGATTGGCTTGATATTTGCGATCGCTCCAAATATGGGCGACTCGGGTGCGCTATTTCTAAATTCGGGACCTGCGTTCGTCACGCTCACCCCGATAAACAAGCCAAAAAACAGATTTTTTTTTTCTTTTTTGTTTCTTTTATGTCTATAATAAAATCGCTTATAATTTTATTGTCAACGCATTTCGACGTTAAAATAATTTTAATGCCTTTAAACTGGATTGCAATGCTTTTTTTTTTAATTGAATACATATAAATAAATAGCACAATTGTCACTAAGACTTACATGAGTGTCTGAACCCATGACCATGTTGTTTCCTTAAATTGCAACGCAGAAAAAATGATGACCGAATTTCTTAGATGAAGCATTTCTGTAATTAATTATTTTTAATTCGCTCGGGATGATTTTGCATTCTACGACCATTAAGTAACAGGGATCGAAAATACACAATAAATAAATACCCTTATTTTCGATCCATGTTGCTTACGTAACGGTCGTAGAATGTAAAAATCGACCTAAGCATTACGATAAAAAGCAACAATAATAAAATGATTGATCCGTTTTATCAATACTTCGCGGGTTACTTAAAGTCAAGAGATATCTTTAGATTGTAAGAATTTTTTTTTTGCGGGGGGGTAATAATGGTTTTAATGATACAAGTCTCACTAATTAACCCATAGCTTGGGGGAGAAGAGCGGGATTCATACACTTCCCAAGTGAATATAACAAACCCAGCGGGAATTGGAACTCGACTCTCCGATTGACAATTCTGAACCATTATACTACCCGCACATTCAAGCTTACAGCACCTGGCATTCCCACGCGGTTACCCATCTAGGTACTGACCAGGCTCGACATTGTTTAACTTCGATGATCGTACGGGAACTGCTGTTCCAACGTGATTCGGCCGTAAGCCTTAAGATGCCAGAGAAACTTGTACAAAGTTAAGGAATTTAGTGTTTCTCTACAAAATAAATTTTCTTTTATCATTTATTTTCCCAAAATTCTTGTTGGGTGAAGGAAACTTTTTGTCTCTAGTTGTCCGAAGTTTGATATGATATCCATTTCGGGACGGTGACATCAGATAACAATTTTATTCTCAGTCACATACATAAATGGTGACTATAATGCGACGGTCGAAATTTGGGCAGGGATATGGGGTTCTGATATTAACCCTGTCCCACCACCTTAATTATTCATTCACGTGACCCTTAGTCTCCCACCCCGACCTACCAAGAATTCGTGCTATGTTTGCATTCCTTCCTTTCGCCAAAATCCATTTCCTCTGTGAAACCTGAACCCAATCTCTCTACCAAGGCAGGTTAAGGATGATTATATATATATATATATATATATATATATATATATATATATATATATATATATATATACGAATGATATGAGTGGCCTTTGTCAAGGTAAACAATGAATGTAACAGCTTTTTTAATATTACTGTTGAACTAGCTAGATGTAACCGTAAATTCTAATCTAATAGTTTTGTTTCTCGCACAGCGGAACTCACTTTTGTTTTTTTTGCTCCTACAATCCTATAAAAAAAAAAAATTAAAAAAACACCAATCGCCATCTTCTTTCTTCCTGAACGTTTTTCATTTATTGTCCTTTCTCCTTACTAAATTCTTCTCATTCTATTTCCTTCCCAATAACTCCTTGCGTCTTAGTGGCATTATCGCCTTGCTTTGGGTGAAATGGTTAAAAATAAATTCATAAATAAATGAGTGTCTTGAAAAAGGTAAAGATTTAATGAAAACATCATTCACTAAACAGGACTTTTAGATTTTTTTAAATGATTGTTCACTCAATATAGGGCCTATGAGCCACTCCATGCTGAATGAGATTGTTGTAAGGACGTATAAGGAAGAAGTAAGAAGTCGATATAATGAAGATACGTAGGACATTTTTTTCATTTAATCATTTCACTCCAAACAAGACAAAAAAGTCTTGTCATTATCTTAATTCTCAATAAACCCTTGCATCTTAGTGGCATTATCGCCTTGCTTTGGATGAAATGATTAAAAATAACTTCTGCATGGGTGAAAGATTTTGACATCATTGCATAACAGTGACGAGTTGTTTTGGCTGTTTGTTTTTTTTGTTTTTTGCTGGGGGGTATTTTGTTGTATTAAGATATCTATATTAATCTATATCCCAGACGACAGTCCCCTCAATTCATAATCTTCCCAAATAAATTAATAAAAAAAAAGTAACAGTCTCACTTATGATTCTAACTCACTTCGACGATTCCATTTGGCCTGCTTATAGCCATTACGACTCCTCATAAATGATATAGCTTGCAGGCAGTTATTATAGATGTACTTCACTGGCCTTGTTGGGAATTTCTGGTCATTGGTCACTAGAAAGCAGTTAGTATAAAAACCTCATATCTGGGGACTCGTGTCTCCCAAAAAGCATTTCTCTGATTCATTAAAACTACTAGCTTTAGAAGCATATCTCGATTAAAAAGATTCTTTCGTTATTTCATACGAGGAAGCAATATATAATTCCTGGTTTACCCATACTGTCAAAAATGACTTATATATATATATATATATATATATATATTCTTAAGTCCTTACCGAGAGAAGGATTTTCGCGTCTAAGACTTTAAATGTATACTTTTCAATTAGTACTGTGCTTTTTCACCCCATAACCCGTCGTCTGTTATAACACTTCTCAGTTAAATTTTATAAATAACTCTTGTAATTATATAAGTTTGATAACGGCCATGTCAGTGTAATAATAATCATAGAAGTTTGTATAAAGTTAGTGATCTCTTGTAACGTTAGTCGTCGAAAAATGACAAACAACTCGCTGTTTGGTGGCTGAGAATTCTCGATTTATTGAGATGTAGATATGAAGGAGAAAGAAAGGTCAAAGAAACAAGATTTCCTCATTTCAAATCATTTAATCACTTCTAAAAGTGTGGGTTGCAGTGCCCTCACGCCGAAGCGCTGAATAATGGAAAAACAGAAAAGGCATCACATTTTCTTGGTCAAATGAGCACATGGCATGCATTTTGGCAGGTGACTTGCAACGTTTTCGTGTCTTCATTTAATCACGAAATGTCACTGAATGAGAGATTTGACCTTTGATCACGCCATCCCTGACACTATTTGGTTAGGCCGCGTTTCTGAAGATATATTACAGGATGCAATTTTGATTGCATACAGAAATAACTCTTTCGGTTTTGTTTTCTTTTTTTCTTTTTTACAAATGAAGGCTCAATTTTAACACGCTTTCTGATACGTTACGCTAACCGCACATCCTTATCTCATGTTTGTTTATTAATAATTTATACTTAATGAATAACATATACAGTGTTTATAAAGTTTTTATTTTAAGTTAGATTTTTGAATAATTTACCTTTTATATAAGATATAAAATAACAAAAACAAATTTATTGTCTCCCTTTATATGAGATATTGATCAAGTACTTTTCTCTGAAAATATAAACATCTGTCTATATTTCTGAGATAAGGTATTGTAACTATTTACAGTATTTACATTGTTCGGACTGTTGTCCTCATCTTCATTGTCATATTCACGACGTTTCGGTCATTATACGCTCCGGCCTTCTTCAGGTGATATACTTTGTAATTTCAAACCTAACGCTTTTAGTCCACAGCAGTAGATTGTTCTACTTCCACATGCCATGTCTTTTCTAGATAACTCCGTTTCAGTTAATTCCCTTTAGTAACTCAACTCCCCAAATTTTTGTTCCCTTTGCTGTAGCCATGTAGTGAACTCAAAATTCTCTTGAATCAAGTCACTTTTGGATTACTTCAACCAACGATTTTATCCGTGAATATGACAATAAAAATGGGGACAAAAAGTCCGAACATTGTAAACAGTGAAAATATAAACATAAGTTACCAAAATACAAAATAAAGACAGACTGTTACTATAACAAATTTACAATGCATTTCTGTAGTAAAATGATTTGCAGTTATACGCTATGCGTGATACACGCTTAGGCGATCATGTACCTTTCGATACATGACTGACGAGGCGGATTTTTTTCCCGCGGTAGGTTGCCATTTCTTTCTGCGGTAAACCAGTTGCTATCCAAGGGAACCAGAACTTGGTCTGTCGTGCTATTTACCCATATCTGGGGATAAAAGAAGAGCACGTAAGAGCACGACTGGAATTCGAACTCGGCTCTCCGATTCCTCAATCCGAGCCGCTATCCTTTACTCCACCGTGCACCTGTCGTGCCTAATTTGTAATGTATGATTATAAATATAAGTTTATATCTGTCAGCAGATTCCAGGCCAAAGACAGTCCCGATTTTCCCAATTTTCAAGGCATAGAATTCAAATTGAATACCGAAACTTGTTGAAACAAATTAGACTAAATTATAGAATCTAATGTTTAATCATTGTTCTTATAAAATGGAAGAATAAGTGGCAGCATGAGAAGAAGAGACAAAAACATTTTATGTATAATGGCTTCAGATGCCGTCCGTGTGTACTGGTGCTTGTTTTATTTCCTCCATTGATAGAGTTTGACACCTCATTTTATATACGTAACGGTTGGTTGTTTATGTTTAGCGGCATATCAACACTTCTATGGGTTATTTAATGCCGAAATCTAAATATTTTGTACTCGATTTTATTTTATTTGTTTTTTATTTTATTTGTTTTTTTATTTTATTTTTGAATAATAATGGTTTCGTGATACAAGTCTTACTAATTAACCCATAGCTGGGGGAGAAGAGGTGGATTCATACCTTTCCCAGGGGTATTTGCGTGTATGTGAATATAGCGAACCCAACTATAATTGGAACTCAGCTCCACGATTAAAAATTCCAAACCATTACCCATCACAACACACACACACACACACACACACCGTGATGTGACCGTAAGCCATATACGTAACGATCAGAGTAATTCTCCCAGAACATATGAAAGGCAATACGGGAAACTTCGACGTAGTGTAGTGATTAGCGTGTGTCTCTATATCAATTACGACTAAATAGGGAGTTCGATTCTCTCTGGTGCCCCCATACATTCATCCGTATACCACATCTAAGCTACGCTTAGAAAATCACCATATGGAAGGTAAGACAGTCAGAGGGGAAACAGCGAGTAACCTACTGAACAGGTTTATGTGAATGGGTGGCTGGTCGGGACAACTAAAAATCGTAAGGATTCAAGCATTGTTTAGATCTACAAATGACATAAAGGGTCACGGCAAGGGTTAGGGTTAAAGAGTGAATGAATGTCTCGACATTTAATAAATCCTACCTATGATATCACAGATTACATAAGCAACGAATTATAATGTAATTAGCTTTTTCCTCGGGGGTGGTCCCCTTTGATTATTTATTAAAACTGAATGTTAATCCTGTTAAACTATATAAGTTTTTTTTCCCCTCAATATATTGCCATAATTTCGTGCCTTTACAAAGACAACGGTTATAAGCGCTGAAAATTGCCAAGGGTTTTTTTGTTTTTTTTTTAAATGCTTGCAGAACAAAAAAAGAATAGTAAGAGCCCAGACTGGTGATTTTGTTTACTTTCTCCTCAAAGGCTTTTTACAAAACCAAACTATAGCCGGCAGACTGGATTAGATGCGAAAATCTGTGTTGTAAATAATAGCGACTACGGATTTCGCTAGGAAAGACTCAAATGGTGTGGGGGGTAGAGTTACAGACATACACAAGAATTGTTTTTTTTTTTTTTTTTATTTGAAAATAAAACTCACATGTTGAGGCAAATGAAAATTGTCAGAGAATAATTATGCCATAGTATAAAGAAAATTGCCCCAAATATTCTCCATAATTCACCCATATTTTTGTCTGAGCGCTGCAATTAGCTGATAAGTAAACCAAAAATAATTCTAAAAGAATGAAACACTAATAAGCAAACGAGCATCACACGCTTGAAGAT